GCCTGGCTCCCTGGGCCAGATGCATCACAGGGCCAGTACCTGCCTTCACCTGGTGCTGTGTAGCTATTGCCTCTGAATCAAAAAGCAACCTCATGTCTATCAGGGTCCTCCCACCCACCCCTGCCCCCAGGAGTGTGGAAGGAGACACCTAAGGCTCAGAAAGCTAAGCGAACTCACAAGACCCTGGAAGTAAAGGAAATGTAAAAGCTCTGGAAGCCTCTGGAAGTGGCAAGCTCTTCGCGGCCCCTCCCTGGGTTATAGAGCAGTAATAAATGCTGTGATGGAGGCCAGTGGTCCAGCTCCTATGACCACCACCACAGCTGTGGTGGGTTTTCTGGGATGCAGCTGCCTTTGCCTGAGTTGACCACACTCCCATAGGTAACCACACACGGTAAGCTCAGACTCGCTAAGCTAGACTTGGGTGGGATCATTTCTTCAGTCTGTCATTAGTGCCCTGTCTGAGGTGACTAGGCATTCGTGCACGCCTCCCCAGGAAAGTCCCACCTGAGCCCTGCTTGGTGTCCCACTGCAGGGGCTTCTCCTTGGCTGCCCTGTCCACTGCCTCTGTCCCCTCATCTCTGTTTCTCCACCAACTACCGGGCTGGGGACCTGCTCACTGCACCTCAGATACACAACGATCAAACACATACGTGCACACCCGTCTTCCTGAAGTGTGGGTATGATAGCTCTTGGCTACATTTTAACCAGGTCTCTTACTCTTGGCTGCTGCGGTTCACTCGCCCTGACAACAGCATGAAAGTGACCTTGAGAACCCTCCTGATAGGACCCACTGATCAGGACAGGCCTCCCTTCTATGGGTTCCTTTAAAATTTTTTAAACGTATTTGTTTCATCTGTGTGTGCACACGTATACGACCGGGCGCATGTACCACAGCGCATGTGTGAAGGTCAGAGGACAACTTTCAGGGGCCAGTGCTCTCCTCCCACCAAGTGGGTCCGAGAGATTGCTTTCAGTATGTGATGACCAGCAACCTCAGCCACTGAACCGTCTCGCTGACTCTTTCTTACTGAAAGATCTGCTCTGAGTTTAAATAAGAGGCAATGCAAGACAGAGTCACACGGAGAGGCATTTCTAGAGAAAACGCCTGCCAGGACTCTTGGCACCTGTCAAGGTAGAAGAAGATGAAGAAGGCTGAAATGACCTTGGAGAGAGGGCTCCAGCAAGAAGGATCGTTGAGTAAGAGGCGTGGAGGAGTGGCAAGGGATGTGGGGGTCCCTGCATTGGATCCCGGAGCGGAAAAGGGTGTGAGCCAGGAAACTGGCAAAATTAGGCTGTGGATCAGTTGATGACATTGTGCTGAGGCCAACGTCCCGGTTTCAATAACTGAGCCACGGATGTGTAAGCTGTTCATCAGAAGAAGTGGGTGTGGAGCTGGGGAAATGACTCAGAGGGTTAAGCCACATGCTTGCCACACAAGCATGAGGGCTGGAGTTCAGATCCCCGGAGCCCACATAAAAACTGGGCCCTGCTTGGTAACCTTCTGCAACCTGGCATGTGGGAGCTGGAAGCGTGGGATCCCCAGAACAAGCTGACTAGTTAGACTAGCTAAATGTGTGAGTTCCGGCTTCAAGTTCAATGTGTGGTCCTATCTGCACGAGTAAGGAGGAGAGTGGTCACAGAAGACAGCACTTAAGAGGTCACTTTGCATGCCCACATTTGTCCTGGAGGCTTAGCTTCCAAGCACAGTGGAGGGCTCTGTACCAAGGCAGTTCAGCTTACCAGATTGAACTAGGGGAGTTGGAGGTAGGAGGGCAAGAGACCTCCGTACTCTTCAGGGGATGGGGGGAGGGAGCGGTGAAGAGTAAAGAGAACCAAGTCTGTGGTCAGAAACTGTGGGGCCATTATCCCAGCCTGCCTAGCTGCACCTTTCCCATGAGGATAATGGAGACAGAGATCCCTGAGCGATCATGAACATGAAGGGGTAGTGTCTGTAAAGTTCTGGTCTCAGTGTCTGGCACACTCTGTGTGTGTGTGTGTGTGTGTGTGTGTGTGTAAGTGCTGTCCCATGCACATGCGTGCCACAGCACATGTGTGGCAGTAAGATAACAACTTTGGGGGGTCAATTCTGTCCTCCCATCATGTGTGTCTCAGGGATCAAATTCAGGGTCCTCGGGCTTGGTGGAAAGTGCCTTTACCCACTGCTACATCTCTCCAGCCCATAGAGAAGGCTCTTAGTGGTCAACGTGAAACCCCCCATCCCTAGGTAGGAAGGTTCCATACAGGAAGCCAAGGAAGGCAGGCTCTGGAGGGTGACCCACAGTATTCACTGCAGCCTTCAAGCTGACAGCCATCACATCCAGCCCTAGGTCCCATCAGGTGACTATGGTGATGATGCCATTCATGTCACACTCACAGCAGCACTTAGGACTGTCAGTTACAGACCCAGGACTCACTCGTGCGAACTTGTTTGCTCTCAACAACCACCCGCTGAAGGAACTGTGGGTGTCATTAAAGCCACCAGGAATAAACAATGAGGGGCCATATGCCAGGGGAGGTGAGGAGATGAGCTTCCAAGTGTCCTTGCTCAGCCACAGCCCTCCCCACCTGCCCCTGAAGACAGCAGTACCATTCCGTTGTTGGCTAACTGTGTTCCCTGTAAAGATTTGGTGGCCTCCTAATTCCCACTGCAGAATGTGACTACCTTTGAAAATAAGTTTTTGCAAATGCAATCAAGATTAAGTCCTTGGGTGAACGCTAAGCCAGCAGTCGTGAGCTAGAGAGACAGCTCAGTGGTTGAGAGGGCTTACTGCCCTGAGGAGGAGTCAGGTTTGTTCCCAGCACCCATGCTGGGTGACTCACAACTGCCTGGAACCCCAGCTTCAGGGGAATCGAACACCTCTGGCTCTGTAGGCCCTTGCATTCATACGCATCCCTGAAGCACACCTACATAGAAATTTTCAAAAATTTTACTATTAAAACAGCTCAAAATGAATAATATTTTTAAAACCTACCAATGATCTTCTGAACACTTGGAAAAAAGTTTATTTTAAAAGAGAAATTGTCAGTCATTTATCCTGCCTTTCCTGTACCACTCAGTATGGGAGATAATTGACATAATATAGAATGATATGGGAACTTCTAGAAAATACAGAAAGATGGGCTGGGACGATGACTCAGTTGGTAAAGTGCTTATTGTACAAACATGAGGATTTGAGTTCGATCCCCAGAATCCATGGGGGGGGTCCAGGCATAGTGGTCTACACCCATAATTCAAGAACTGGGGAGACAGAGACTAGAGGATCTTGGGGGTTCATTAGCCAGCCAGCCTAGCCTAACCAGTGATGTCCAGGTCACTGGGAGACCTTCTCAAGGTGGACAGCACAGGAAGAATGACATCCGAGATCATCTTCTAGTCTGCATGTTCATGTGCACACAACACACATGCATATACATCCATGCACATATGTGCGCCTGCAGACTGCAGGCATGTGAGCAGGCAGACATACAAAGACAGGCTAGGGAGACAGCCCAGTAGGTAAAGCCCGAGCCACACAAGTGTGAGAACCTGAGTTACGATTCTTGGCACCCATGTAAAAGCTGGGTGTGGTCACACATCTGTAACCCCAGTGATCAGGAGCGGTGACAGGTGGGTCCCCAGAGCTTGCTGGACACCCAGCCCAGCCAATCAGTAAGCTCTGAGTTCATCAATAGAACCTGACATCGATCCCTGGCCTACACATGCACAGATACATACACACACACACACACACACACACACACACACACACACAGAGAGAGAGAGAGAGACAGAGACAGAGAGAGAGACAGAGACAGAGAGACAGAGACAGGGAGACAGAGAATGAAAAAATGATGATGAGTTATGGAGGACTGCTAAGCCATGACCGGAAAAGCCAGTGAGACAATCCAAACACACCCATGGAACCTACAGCACCTGTCAGCTTGGGTGTGACCTCATAAGACATCAGCAGTTATGTGTCTGCTGGTAAGATGCACATGGAAGCAGGTAGCTCCATCCCTGGAAGATCACAGGCATGCTCCACCTAAGGACTTTTCAGCCAATGACAAGGCGCCACATGTGACACTGGTCACAGAAGATGATGATGGAGCTGAGAAATGCCCATTATTTAGTGACCTCATAGCCCTCACAACACTACCACACAGGGCGTTACTCATGTGAGTGCTGGTGGTGTCCACACCTACTGCACTCACAGTTGTAAAAGCAGCGTATATCCAGTTACACATGGTGCATTGAGCTCCCAATGATGGTGAATGGCCATTACTAGCTCATGTTTTTACTATATTATGTAATGTCAGACTTCTAATGATAAGTTTACAATGTATTCATTCTACTTATGAAAAAAGTACTGTTGGGCTGCACCAGTGGCCCAGTGTAAGAGCACTTCTTGCTCTTGCAGAGGACCTGGATTCAATTCCCAGCACTCACATGGTGGTTCACAACCATCTATAACTCCAGAGTACGCATATGGTGCACATACTTACCTTCAGGCTAGATGTTTACTTATAAAACAAAATAAATAAATGCTTAAAAAGGAAAAAAGAAAAGGAAGAAAAAGAGGAAGAGGGGGAGGAGAAGAAGAAGAGGAAGAGGGGGAGGAGAAGAAGAAGAGGAAGAGGAAAAAGAAGAGGAAGAAGAAGAGGAAGCAGCAGCAGCAGCAGCAGCAGCTGGGCATGGTGGCACATGCCTTTAATCCCAGCACTCAAAAGGCAGAGGCAGATAGATCTCTGAGTTCAAAGTCAGTTCCAGGACAGCCAGGGCTACACGGAGAAACCCTGTCAAATAAATAAATACAAGCAAACAAACAAAAAAACCAAGATAGACAGACAGACAGGGAGAGAAGGAAGGAAGGAAGGAAGGAAGGAAGGACTGATGCTGCGGTGGCAAGAGCATAGTCCAAGTACTGAGGAAGGAAAGATTAGTGGATCCTGGGGACTTGGTATCCAACCAGTCTAGTCTACTTGGTGAATTCCACCATTGAGGGACCTTATCTAAAAAACAGATTTATTAAGCAGCAGACAGAGACCATTGCAGAAAGCCACAGTTAGTGGAAGTGAGGCGGGATGCCAGGCCTTGTTTCACATCTGCAACACAGTCCCTGCCCTAAGGCTCAGGGACACTGAGGACGGAAGAGCCAAAGGACAAGGAGGTCTGCTGTGACACTGTCTTCTAGGTATGGCTGGGAAGTCTGGTGACATTGTCTTCTAGGTATGGCTGGGAAGTCTGGTGACATTGTCTTCTAGGTATGGCTGGGAAGTCTGGTGACATTGTCTTCTAGGTATGGCTGGGAAGTCTGGTGACATTGTCTTCTAGGTATGGCTGGGAAGTCTGGTGACATTGTCTTCTAGGTATGGCTGGGAAGTCTGGTGACATTGTCTTCTAGGTATGGCTGGGAAGTCTGGTGATACTGTCTTCTATGTATGGCTGGGAAGTCTGGTGACACTGTCTTCTATGTATGGCTGGGAAGTCTGGTGACACCATCTTCTATGTATGGCTGGGAGGCTGCACCAGGAAATCTCGGTACAACTGTTTAACAAGACCTGCACAATGACAACACAGTAGACATGCCAGCCTGGTAGGGGGAATCACAAGGGGTCCCACCCCGAGAGGGAGAGCCACAGGAAATTAAAAACTGCTGAGACAGCCAGCCTTCTGTAGAGATGAGTCTCCTGGATGGTCAGCCAATCCCAAGTGGCCAACCCTAAAAACAATATTCAGACAAGCAATACTGAATGGAGGCAGCAGGTTTCATTTATGTACCATTCTCATATATATGTAACAATAATAAAGAGTAAGACACCATGAATAGAAAGGGAGTTGGGGGCACGGGAGGAGTTGAAGGGAAACAAGAGGGTATTATATAATCATATTTTAACCTTAAAAAACAAAACAAAACTGAGCAACAGTGTGACTAATGTTAAAAAAAAATAAAATAAAGGCCAGGTGATGGTGGCGCACGCCTTTAATCCCAGCACTCGGGAGGCAGAGGCAGGCGGATCTCTGAGTTCGAGGCCGGGCTGGACCAACAGCCTCCAAAACAACACAGAGAAACCCTGTCTCGTAAAACCAATAAATAAATAAATAAATAAATAAAGTAAAAGATAGCTGGTACCTGAGGAATGATAGCTGAGGTATTCCTCTGGCCTACACACACACACACACACACACACACACACACACACACACACACATACATACACACCAAGACGGAGTCTTGAGGATTAGGAACTGGCCCTGAGTAAGAAACGCTTGAAACTGTGTGACAAACACTGTGTAGGGGACAGGGGTTAGACTATAACTCCATCGGCAGAGTGCTGCCTACCTGGCATGTAGAAAATCCTACCGGGGTCTTCAAATCCTTGGTCCTCAAAACAAATTAGTTCCCCCAGTTTGTGCTTTGACCTGTTCCTCGGCATTCTGAAGATACCACGTGTTTGCTTCCATGTTTACTTCTGTGATGCCTCCGGGCAAACTGCTTGCATGGCATTCTCTGGAATGTCAGCTTGTGTCCCCAGAGATCACCACACAACGGGGCCTGCCCACAGAGTTGGACCTGGTGGCTGTCACATCAGCAGCCGGGCAGACGGATGTCACCCTAGGACACACATGCACACACACAGGTGCACACATACACACACTCACACTAGTCCTAACCCTTGCAGACAGGTAGGGACATTTCTGCAAACCCTGATGCATGTGGAGGCCGAAAAGTCTTTGGGAGGCCACTGGACAGGCAGCTGCTTACCTGCCTGCTCAGGGAGGCGCTGCATGAACAGGAAAGGCAGAGTCAATATTTACTGAGAACTAGCCTCAGAGCCTGCCTAGGAGCCTGCGGCTTTGGGTTCACTTTGTCCCAGAGTCTAAGCCTCTGAGCATAGATGCTGGGGAACGGTGATGGGGGTGGTGATTATTAGGCTCTTGTTGAATTCTCTATTCCTGTGAGCGAACATGGATGCGGGAGACAGAGTGGGGAGGGGGGGCTGCCTATAGAGACCAAAGGAAACTGAATTTGGGGGGAAATAAAAGATTCACTAGACACTGGGCAGTGGTGGTGCACACCTTCAATCCCGGCACTCGGAAGGCAGAGGCAGGCGGATCTCTGTGAGTTCAAGGATAGCCTGGTCTACAGACCGAGTTCCAGGACAGCCTCCAAAGCCACACAGAAAAATCTCATCTCGAAAAAAACCAAAGGGGGGGAAAACAGCAACAAAAAGATTCACCAGGCAAAGGAGAGTAACTGTCTCAAGAAAGACACCCAACTGGTGAGACGAATCAGCAGTGAAGGCCAACTACTTCTCTTGCAGAGGATTCAAATGTAGTTCCCAGCACCAATTGATGAGAAACTTGGGTTTGGAGAAAGAGTCACCTGTCCAGGCTCATGTGTTGACAGTTAGCTTGACTTCTCTGTGGTTCTGGCACGGTGCCTAGAACGGTTTGAGAATTCATGAGCCACTAATGTTGAAAGGGTTCCTGGGGACGACGGAGACTCAGGTGACCTTAAAGGTGAGGTGAGCATCTGAGGGACCAAGGTGCGTCTGGAGGAAATGTGGGGAAATGTGGGTTTTGTTGCCGTGTGCCTCCCATCATGCCTTGGGTCTGCTCTCCTGAGCACCTGACCCTGAGAGCAAAGTGAAAGCCCACGGTGACAGCACGTGGCTCTTCTCACTGCTCTGACCAAACACCTGACAAGCAACCTACGAAAGGAGGGCCGATTTTGGCTCGTGGTTTGAAGGGACCGTCCATCACTGTGGGGAAGGCGTGGCAGCAGGAGCTTTGGGGTACATGGTGTCTGCAGTCGGGAAACAGAGAGAAGACAGGACGTGAGCCAGACCCTGGACCCTTGAGGCCCTCCTTCAGTGAGCCACTTCTTCTAGCAAGGCTCTGCCTCCGCAACCTTCTCAAGCAGTGCCGCCATCTAAGGATGAATGTTCAAAAGCAGGAACCTGGGAATATCTCACGTTCAAATCACACCGATGTCTCTTTCCAGGCATGGATGCCGTTTCCAGGTAGTTCGTTTTCACAGGTGCTCCGGTGTCAGGGACAGCCGGGTTCTCAGTGTGGGAGGTTGGTGATCCCTTCCTAGAAGCCGGTGTCGGCCATGGTGAGAGGCCAAGCATCATGCCTGGCATGTGGGTTTCCAAACATCCCCACTCCTTCCTTGGCCCATCAGGAACTCAGAAGAGACCCTCCTCAGATGAGTCTGTTATCAGGACCAAGGCGCTCAAGACAATCTTTTCCTACAGTCCAGCTGGTGGCATGAGGCAGGGTGAGGGATCCAGGTCACGCTCTAGGACTGGAATAGCATAGTTCTTCTTGCCAGCCAGGCCCAGAACAGAATGAGGGAAGCAGGGAGGGCAAGCAACAGTAAGAGATTGTTCCACAAGCAAAAGGACCTGAGTTCAGTCCCCCGACTCATAATTAAAAGGGAACAATATTGGGCATGGTGGTGCAAATTTGTATGTCCAGTTCTGGGAAGAAGGAGGTGGGTGGATCCCTGGGACCCACAGGCCAGCCAGCCTCTCCTAATTGGTGAGTTCCAGGCCAATGGGAGATCTTGTCTCATGAAAACAAAGTGGCATTGTCCAGAGGAGCAACAGCAGAGGTTGACCTCTGACCCCTTGCTCACCTAACTGAGTGTACACACACACACACACACACACACACACACACACACACACACACACGAGATCCAGAGGAGAGCAGCTAGACAGAGATTCATTCTGGACCCCAGCTGGGCTCAGATCCTGATCCTGTTAAAGCCACCTGGCCAGGGATAAAACCAGTCCTGCCAGGTGAGAGGGCCTGAAGGAGGAAGGAAGGAAGCCCACAGAATGGGGAAGTTATGGAGAGCCCAAGCCGAAAGCCCAGCGAAGTAACCAGGTTACAGGCTAAGCAGCATCAAGCCAGCCCTGGGCCGTGGTCGACACATGCACACCCACATGTCCACCCTTGCCACTAAGACCATCTCTTAGTTTTGTCCAGATTAAAAGTGGGGTGAGTGTTAGGAGGTGACTCCAACACCAGGACCTTGCTTGAAGGGTGAGCTGTGAAGACAGAGGCACAGAAGGAAGGAGGTCCTACTAGGCTAAGGAGACAGTGTGGGGCAGTAGGTGGAGTCATGAAACCCAAAGCCAGCGAAGCAGGGGAAATATAGAGCAGACCACAGAGAGTGATTCACCTCGCTAGCTCCTCAGGGCCTGGGTATGGGAGGCACTGGAGGCCATTCTAAAGGCACAAGGCAAATCTGCTTCTCAGAGGCTCTGGCCATGCGCTCCCTCGGGGGAACTCTGTGACACCCCCCACTTACTCCCTTGGCAATTGGGAGGCAGGTTCATTAGAGTCCCGTCCCTTGTCCCTGCTCTCTCAGATGGAAGGTTTCTGACCCCATAGCTTGTTCTGGGTAGCAGGTGCTATACTGGGATTCCACGCCCAGACTAGGCACTGGCCCTTGAGAAGCTGAACTTTCCCAGTGTGCTGTCACAGGGATTTCTACCTGGCTCTGTGGATCTTATGCCAATGGGCCAATGGGTTAGGCAACATCTGTGAGAATACCTCTGGGACCAGGGGCAGCTTTGGTGCCTTCAGCTTGCTGGAGCTTTGGTTTGTTTGGAAGGCAAAGATCAGTTCACAGGAGACACGAGAATCAGAGCCTGACACAGTGGACTTGGCGTCTGTGCCGAGTCAGCAGGAGGCATGTCCTGGCCTACTCAGTGAGTTGAGGCATCTCACTGACCTCTCTATGATATTTGGATTATTTTGAGTTTGGGGGGGGGTGTAGGGTTATATGTGTGCATGCAGTTGTACACGCATTGTGCATGTGTGTGGAGATCAGAACCCAACACAGTTTCATTCCTCAATCACCACTTTATTTTCTGAGGCAGGGTCTTTTGCCAGATCTGGAGCTCTCTGTATGGGGTAGCCTGTGCTCTCTCCGTTTCTGCTTCCCAATGGTGGGGTTACAGGAGCAGACAACCCTGCTTAGCTTTGTCATGTGGGTTCTGGGCATCAAACTCAGGTCCTCATGCTTGGATGGCAATCAAGCTCTTCACCAACAGGGCCATCACACAGTCCCTCCAAAGTCCATTCTACTCTGAGTGCGGAAATGCAACTCCAGTCAATGGGACATGTGCTCCCTGTGGGTCAACCATCCAAGAGTGGCACTGTGCGACCCCAGCCCCCACAAGGCCTTTGGCTGCTGAACTTCTTGGGCCTGGTCATCTGTCTCCCTCCTGCTTTTCCTTGACCAGGTCCCTACTGCCAATAGGGCCTGCTGCCCAGAATTTTCTAAACCCTATTGCCACTTCCTAAATTCCAGAGCTTGGCTCTCACATGCCCCAAACCTTAACTTTCTGGAATTTTCAACTTCAGAAAGCAAATGAGGCCTCTGATCTGTCTTCCATGCATGGTCTGCCTTTCTCCTTTCCAAGTCTCCAATCCATTGGTTCTGTAGTTAGAATGGATGTTTGGCATTAATTCCAGCACAGATGCAGGCACAGATAGCCTCAGCCAGTCCCTTTACTTCCCTGGGTCTCAGTTATCT